AACCTACATCGATTTAAGTTATCCTTGGAGTAGGCACTACTAGAAAAACAGCCTTTTACGACGCTCATTGCACGTCGTAAAAGGCTCAGACGATGCGCAAATGCGCGTCAAGGAAGGCTCTGTCATAAAGAGAGACGACGCGCTTTTGAGCGTCGTCTATAGATGATGCGCATTTACGACGCTCGTTTATGACACGCAATTACGACGCGCGTTTACGACACTCAATGCGTATCAAGGAAGACCCTGTCATAAAGGAAGACGACACGCATTTGCGTATCGTAACCTTACGACGCGCGTGTTAATGACACGCAATGCGTATCAAGAAAGGCCATGTCATAAATGAAGATGAGACACATTTTTGCATATCATAATTTTAAATGTTAAAAAAAAATATTATTTATAGATTTACCTATTCTCAAATTAAATTTGTATTTAATGTTTCATAATCGAAAATAAAATATCATATACAAAAAATAGAATCCATTTCATAAATTTAATGTCATACAATTCTATTTCTTATAATATATAAATTTGCATCTAATCTACTATGTACATCAAATTCCAACTAACTAAGTTGCATCTTGCCTTTCATAATTCTTTAAGACTAATGCTCCAAACAGCTGATTATATGGATAAGCAGTTGTACATTGGCCCATCTCACTCAATAATGACTTAGCTGAATTCAACTCACTTTCCAAGAGCTTTCTCATGTAACTAACAGTGGAGTACCTTTGGCTTCTCATCTTCCTTTTGAAGTGCTTTGATCTGGTCCTTTGTCAGGCGTTACCCTGAAAAAAAAAACACAAGTGGAATTAAAAATATGTTTTTAACAAGAAATAGTCAAAAATTGCATAAATCAACTTCTTGATTAGGAACATTATCCATTGTATCTTTCATATCATCCTTCACATCTACATCCATGAAAAGAATATCATCTTCATTAGATAAGTTGAGAAGAGAATCTGGTAGAATTTTGTCTCCCCACTTTGTTGAATACTTGACCCATTTTTTGCTTTAGCATCTGCAAACATCATAAATAATTTTAGAAAACAATAAATGTAAGGTTCTTTCATGAAACCAGATAAAATTGATGTTTAATCATTTATCTATAGATACCCAAAAACAATAATAAAAATTTATTACAATATATAGAGTGAACATGTTCTATCATTTCTTGCATTGCCTGCCCAAAAGAGCTTTATAAAGCACGTAGACCACTAATTAGCATAAATTTATCAAACAAATTCAAAATTAAAATCGGGAAGATAATAAATGGATAATGTCAATACAAGAAGAAATCAAGCTTAAGCAGTCCCTCCTCAAATGAAAGAATATAGACCAGAATCACATTAAATGACTAAGATTTGCTGATCCTAACATATGAAAGTCTACAATAAAACATACAACATTCTACATACTTGTATGTAAACTTGTCAGCAATTGCATACATGTACTTTATCTCTAAACATTTCTGAACGTATTATTCCCATCAGATGTTTAAAATTACTCACAATTTGACAGCAGGACACGAAACTGGTGAAGCCTTTTCTGAAAATAGAAAATTAAGCTCACTATTGTATTCCAAAAGAATGAACCATTCTATTCCATCTAGCAAAACAAACAACTTTTTTTTTTCATTCCAATGGATTACACAATTCCATTCCTCCCTCAATTCCATTATACAAAAAATACAAAATTTAAACATTATACAAGCTCACTAAACTCAAATAAGATTTATGATAAAAAAAATCTAGTTACTTTTAGATAAAAATATATAACTTTATTAAAATCATGAAAAAATTGGAAGGAATCATATTTCTTAAGAATGGTCTATTCCATTCCATCGGCAATGGAACAAACCATTCCATTCCTTCATACAAACACAACCTAAAATAAAATTATTTCAAGAAAAGAATAGGTAGTAAGAAGAAGCATACACGAATTTAAACATTCTACAACGGGGATCTTTATTTGCAGTTTACTGATTCCAACAGAAAACCTTTTTTAATCAAAAGTTAGTAAGATGCATTTCCAAATAAACCCAACTTTAAGATAAAAATATATTCAAATTGAATAAAGACACAAGCCACTAGGCTAGCATCTCAGAGGACCAATCTGTCATGACCATGACATAAACATAACTCAATTTAATAAAATAGATTTCATTAAAACAAGCTAAACAACAAATCATTAGTTTTAATTGATAAAAACTTAATTTTAGAAGAAAATAGATAAACCTGATATGCTATAAAGGGTCAAGCGTTCCAAATCTGCATTTGTACTCTTTAAGTAGGTTCTAAATTTTGAATGCCTCTTGAAATATACCTGTTAGGATCTAACCATTTTTTATAAAGGTTTGAGATACTTGTAGCAAACAAGAAAAAAAAAATTGAAACTAGAATTAAGCTTGCAAGTTGATGACACAAACTCCCATTTACTGGAATGGTGAAAAATCATGATTAATACACAAATCAACAAAAAGTAAACAAAGCCAAGACATAATTAAGCTCTAAAACTATTTTAGTTCCTATAAGTTGCAGGCTTTCTTCACCTCCATATACAGTACTAACATGTAAATTCCCCTATAAATAAGATTTATCATTATATTAACCAAATTAAGCCTCAAATCATGGTGAAATTGACATCATGTTACATGATACTCTGTTATTTTAACTAACAACTTATACCAAAAGTTAAATATCCAATGGGACATTTACCTAAAGTTTCTGAATTGTTGTTGTCAAACTGTATAATATAATAGAGCAGTTGCACAACATTCACAATAGGTAAGTGATACATTTTCAATCTCTTGATCACATCTATTTCAGATAATGACCATGGTTACAACTTACAAAGTTGGCCACGAGTTGGATATTCTTACCAGTGGTTTTTCTAAAAGATTCATTATCTGCAATTTTCCCATTGATAACATGATTATCATATCATGGTGAAACATGATGAACGTTAAAAGTTAAAGTTAAACTGACCTTGATGATTTCAAGCTTACGATGTAATTGATACCAATCATTGGAAGGTAAAGATTCAACAGTTGCAATTCTAAAGTAATCTCTGGTGTTGCCTTTGGGACAGCTGGTTTCCCATATATAAACCTTTCACATGTTTAAAGAAGTCTTTAGAAAAAAAAAAGAGTATTAATAGATATGAAAAGGTTTAAACTTTAATTTATATGTATTAGAATTAGAATATACCATCTTAAGTATAATCCAGTTCCTCCAGTAACTATTGGGACATGACCTCTACTGAGAATATCTTTTATAGCTTGTCTTCCATCATCATAGAAGTTTCCAGCAGAATAATCTAGTTGAAAGAGGAGATTGTTAGTTTGTAGACTGAAACAATGGTTTACAACATGTAAGGGATAAATACCTTCAGCAGGGTGTAATGCACATGTCACACACAGATTGCCAACATGGACATGTGCTAACGTGGACCTCCTAAAAATTCTTCCCGAAAATGTCTCAAATGCCACCTTCATAGTGTGAATGAAACAAATCTAGAATATTTCAAAAAAAAAAAATAGCAATTTTGACATGTCAGCAAAAAAAATTAAAAAACATATGTTTGTACGTTATAACAAATAAATAAATACCAAGGCTTTGTCGGACGACTTTTGACAGGTCAGCTTGGAATCTTTTTTCATCAACATCTTCTACTTTAATATTTCTAGAAGCATCTTCCACATGCCCATTTGTTTGATTCTTGAAAACATCAAAAACTTGTACTCTTGAGTTACTTTTATGTTGTTGTTTTGCAAGTTGTTTTTGTTTGGCTTCATCTTCAATGCTTCTTTGATATTTCAATGTTTCTTCAAGCTTCCTTTCTTTAGCTTCAAGCTCCATTTTTCTTCTCATAGCCTCATCTTCATGTTTATTCATATCAACACCATCTTCATCAATACTTCCACTATCATAAGTGCTTGTAGCTTGCAAATGCAACAATATCTCTCAACACAATCTAAAAAAAATAAAAAATTTATTTCAAACCTTTATATCCTTCATCTTTCGGTATTCCTTGTTCTTTCTTTTATTAATTTGCTTTGCCCCCTTTTTAGAATCTAAAGCAAGTTCAGCCAAGAAAGCTTCTTTAGCAGCATCTGACTTCTCTGTTGCATCTTTTTTTGCTAAATTCTGTATATGTGCCTAAACAAAACATGAAAACACATTCATACTTAAAAGGAGCATGGGTAATAACAATAAAAAAAATTGACAAATAATACACCCGGTGAAGCTCTTCTTTAGCACCAGCATCTCTTGTCCCCATAAACTACCACTTGCTTCTTCTTGAACGTGATTGTGCAGCTTGCTCAACTGCAACTTCCATTTGCTTAATTTTCCCATGTAATCACCACATAGCTAAAACCCCTACACAACAAACCAAACAAAACAAAAATCAACAAAAAATATTAATTAGCAAAAACAAAAACAAAAAAAAAGTCGAAGATACCCTTAAGGTTAACAAGAGAGGTCGTCATTCCAAAAACAGATGGAGAAGAAGAGAACAGTGTTCATACCTGATTTAGGGAATAAAAGAATCTTTAAAAATTGAATGTAAGAGAAAGAAATCTAGGGCACATACATGAAGAAGTAGATCACAACTTTCGAACCTGATGCCTCCTCCGTTTTTGTTTTCCGCATTCTGATGCTTCCGATCGTACCTTGAACCTCTGACTTTCGATCAAAAATCTGACTTGCAACCTTTGATTTCTGATCTTCAACCTGTAATTCGAGTCATATAGTTCCGAATGTCATAAAATTAACCTTGCTACCTCTTATTTCTGATGAAAGAGGAGTCTCTAATCTGAGAGAAAAATGAGGAGTCGCTGGCTCAAATCTACGACTTTACATGATATTTTTCAGAAAGGAGTCTTTGCAGAGCATTGGGGTTTTTCTTTATTTCATAACCCTAGCATGTACTGGGTTGAGATAAAATGAGAGAAGCGGAAGCTTGGAAGAAGATAAAACCCTAGCACGTGCTAGAGAGAAGGGAGGTGGCGATGGCTTAGGGTTTACAGAGAGAAGGGAGGTAGAGAATGAAGGGAGATCTAGAGGAGAGAGTATCAGAGAGAGGAGAGTGGATTGCAAGGATGAAAGATAGATAGAAGATAGAAAAAACATGGTGGGTTTTCAAAATTTTGGGGATTTCGTTCCCCCCTTATCTACTAAAAGCGCGTTTCATTAAAATTATAAAGCGACAGGTACAGACGACGCGCGTTTAAGATAAAGTGCCCTCCGTGTTTTTAATTTTTTTTCTTGAGACACTAATTTAAGGGCACGCAATAATGCGTGACGTAAATCCTAAATTTTTTTGGAGAGATGACACTATTTTAAGGGCACGTCCTTTTGCGTATCATTAATCAGCGCATGTCGTAAAAAGCGCGTCATTAAAGGTCTATTTTCTAGTAGTGTGAAGATCTATCTAGCAACCTGTATTTATGGGCAGACCCATTAATTTAGAGGTCCATTTAGATGTCAAGCAATCATAACGCACCATGCAGTTATTATTAGAATCTTCAACCATTGACTTTAGAGAACACCTTTGTACGAAGAGCACATTTGCATCAAAGAGATCACCTTTCACTACACTAGTACAAAACTGGTCAATGATATCGGTTTTTCAAATTAGTGGTCTAAGTTTTCATATTTCTCATCACTGAAGGCCATAAAGTAATTCATATGATTGTTTCCATGACATTTTACTGAAAACGAGTCACCATTGCCAATCAGATTTCAGACATTGACATTGGTTTTACATAAAAAAGTGATCAATCATGCGACGACCGAAAACGGTGGCCAAATGTCATCTTTACTAACAGGTTTTGTTATTCATCATGTACATTTACCTTGTATTTGTTCTTAAGTGAGACATGAGATGTTAAAGTTTCATTTTAAGTTATTAAAACTTATATTGAAGTTTCTAACATGAAAAACCCATGACTAGTCATGCAACGACCAAAAACGGTGGCCAAATGTCATATTTTATAACGGGTTTTTTATGTTATATGTATTTTAACAGACTAAGTGAAATCCAACTATCCAAGTCCAATAAACCATTTCAGAATATCCAATTCCAATAAAATAGTTCAAACGTTTTTAATGTATCTATCACACCAGTTCAACTCGATTTTTTTAAGAAACCGTCCGTTTCAATCATGTTTAAAAATTAACATAAAACCGGTTGTTGTTGAACTGCTCTTGTCCGCGGTTCCCGGTTCGACCCGGTTTTAAAAACGTTAGACATACTATTATAACTTGTCACTACAAGTTGTAATATATCAGCCTTGCTATAAATATTTTTTTTGTCATTGAAATTGTTCATCACATCCAATTTATATTGTTCTTCTCATATACCCCATGTAGTAAATAAATACAATCAACTCCACACAGATAGGAAGGAATTGAGAGGATTGTACTAGCTAGGAATAATCTACCAAGCTAATATTATAACATAGATAAATCATAACAAAAACCCAAAAATATCAAACAAATTAATAATAATAACAATAATATTGGGTATACAACAACTGACCCTGGTATACTGGCTTTATATACTGAAAATTGACAAAAAAAACACTAACCAAAAATATTTACAATACTTCTAAAAGATTAAAGAATAGTATTAGGTTTTGTCTTGCATCTACTATATCTTCACAACTTCTTTTTTCCCTTATGTATTTTTGTACCCTACAGTCCAACCGAAAGTAATAATTATGGGATTCAAATTTATCTACATGTGTCATTATATATTTATCTTGATGTGGTAAAAGTATTGTATTGTATTCCTCACCAGATTTGGTGGATTTGATTTCAAGTAAGATAGAGGGAAAGAGAAAGGAAAGAATGTATAACAAAGACGAAAGGGAAAGGGAATGATTTCAATGGCAGCAATAGATTTACGAGGTTCACTAAAGTGTGAGGTTTTGGTGTTCATCGGACTTCGTTACCGGAGCTGAGAGATGGTGAGGGAAGATGAAAAGATAGAGATGAGATGAACATAGAAGATGATGTTGGGGTATGATACGCTAGGGTAGAGGTTAGGAATAAGGAGGGTGGGACCTATATGTTGACATTTGTAACGACCAAAAAATACAACCAATTTTAAATTTTTCAAAAATAGCTCGATTCCATTAAATCTTTACAAAAAGGTTTTAAATACAAAACATTTAACGTATTCCCAGAATCACATTACTACAAAATCATGAGGAGCGGTATGATCACGCCTTCGCCTTGGCACGGTCTCCTGAAGAACCTGAAAAACATAAAACCACAACTGTAAGCCCGAAATCTTAGTGAGATATCCCCAAAAATACCAACCACATATACGCCCTTCCAGGCCACAACCTTCCGATCCAAAACATATTGCCCTCCAGCCCATAACATATTGCCTTTCGGCCCATAACATATTGCCTTCCGGCCCATAACATAAAAAGCATACATAACATAACAGAACATAGAACAACCATGCATATCGGGTCAAACCCCAATCCAAACAACCCTGAGTACATAACATTCAATCATATAACAGTTCACAGTCAACAAATCGATCAAACAGATCACATAACATATCATCACCCTAACCAGGATACCGACCTAACCGATTACGAACATAACATCACCCTATGTTTCAGCCAAATACTACTTACGCACATACGCCTTTCCAGGCCATGGCCTTCCGGTCCACATAATATAGAATGCCTTCCGGCCCATATCATAATGCCTTCCGGCCCATATCAAGCAATACCATAACAGACAACTATCCGGATTTCCATCCGATAAAGGGTCGGCCTTAGTGCCGTAGACCCTGCCAATATAGTGAGGATAACTCACGTCGAAACTGCCGACTTAAAGGATAAGATCCCGCTGCTCCAAGCTCCGACACGAACTCCTCCACTGAACACCAACACACTCAACTCAATAAATACCCTTAATTACCAAAATACCCCTGAATGACAACTGGTCAACCTTTGGACACGGTCAAAGTAAACCCCTGACTGACTCTACTCGCCGAGTCAACCCAATGTCTCGCCGAGTCCCCATACTCAGAACTTCCCTCAATCCGCGACCTAACTCGCCGAGTCACCCTGAGACTCGTTGAGTCCAACAACTCTAAGTCCACTCGCCCACAACTCACCGAGTCATCCCTTGACTCGCCGATTTTCGACTCATCCAGAAAATATTGGGACTCTTCGACAAGACTCGCCGAGTCCAGGAACAGAATCGCCGAGTCTAAGGCTATCTTCAACCTACTCGCCGAGTTGTTCATACAACTCGCCGAGTTCCAGGCCATCTTCATCCAACTCGTCGAGTTCCAGCTCATCTTCAAGCAACTCGTCGAGTCCACCCATGTGACTCGCCGAGTACCATCGGTCTAAATCCATACAGAAGCATTCCAGGCCATGCAATTGATCCAAAACATAGATCTAGCCTCCTACAACCCATCCATCACGTAAAGTGGAAAACTTTACGTGAATCCAAACAGATCTATGCATTTTGCACATTAGGGCTAAGGTTTGGGACAATATAGCTTCACCCAACACTCAACACAGGGACTTTAATGCACTCCAACCCTTCTCCATTCCAGATCTGAGGTAGCAACCTCAGATCTAGCTCTAAACCCTAATACATCCGAAGATATGATCTCTAACACCCCCAAAATGATGCATCTAAGAAATAGCAGCTCAAAAACGAGATATTACCTCAAAAGAACGCCCCAACTGCAATGAAACTCGAATCCAAGCAAAGCCCTTGCTCCAAGCCTCTTACCCTTCAAGATTTCCTCAACAATTGCTTCTCCGAACTCCCAAATGCAACTTGATCCACTCACACATGAAGGTTAGGGTTTCTGGACTCGAGGATGAGTAAAGAGGCTGGGGGAATGGATGTTATGTTCTTTATATAGGGCTCAACCCCGAGAATTATGGTTTTCTTCACTCAGCGCCTACTCGCCGAGTCCATCTTACTGACTCGCCAAGTCGGCTACTTAACACGCGACCAAGTTGCGACTCTACTCGTCGAGTCCACCCATGGACTCGCCGAGTCGCTCTTTCCCAATTTACTCTCTTAGCTCTTTAACTCTACCCTTGACATTTCGGGATGTTACAATTCTCCCACACTTAAATTAGGCTTCGTCCTCGAAGCCTACGGCAACACAACTCTTAGAAATACCCTTGACATGCACCACCTGGCATTACTCCAACCAGGTTTCTCAAAACACAACCGCAAAACCAGAAAATCGATTTCTCCTTCCTTACGGTGTCCTGACCATCGTCTCGAGCCAGGCACCGGCTGTACCCTCTGATAATCGCAGTCAACAACCGAGAATTACCCATGATGCATCACTGCTCCAAATCTTAACAATCACTCGACCTATATGGGCTAGAAAACCATGAACCATCAGATCCCCGATCTGAATCCCACTCTATCCATTCCATGCTGACGGAAAGACCCATTCTTCAACCTCGGAGCAACTCCCACGAGTTCTCCTCTAGCAATCACATACACATGCTAAACTAGCTCTAGCATCCTCAGATTAGGAAATCCTGATACACTGATGATATCCTCAAACATCCGCCAGGATGAACCACTAATACATATCCAATACCCTGATCAGAATCACACAGAGAGCCCAAGACTCTCTCCCTGCATCACTTCCGAGCCTTTTGGCTCTACACCTGCGGAATTCCCTCCGCGACCTCAGCAGACATCCCAAACCGGATGAGCTTCTAATCCACTGCCGCAAACACGCTGCTCAAATAACCATACTCGAATTACTCTAATCAGAACTCTGCTCTGCCGCTTTCACTTCTGTGAACTTGCACTCCCTCTCGGAGTTACACACCTCTCTCTCTTCCTTTACCAAGGAACCCACTCGGCCACATTGTCGCTCCGACAAGTGTCACAGTGCTCGCCCAATGCTACACCATCCTTTTTATAGCGTATCTGCTATCCATCCACCACACATACTCTAATTCTCATTGCAGGGACTCTCAAGCCCATGCACTATCTCAACTAATCAAGATCACTACTCGGGGCCAGACCTTCTAATGCAATCACACTGCAATATACACAATCCATATCCTCGAACTGATCCAACAATACCTGCAGAGTCTTCAGCATGA